TAAAATATTACTGTGTAAAACAATTAAATGTATGTATGTGTATGCGATGTGAAGCGAGCTGTATGAAAGTACATACAAATACAGGTTTATCCAATAAAAAGGTAAGAATGCGAACGTCCTCAGCTACTCTAATATGCACTTGACACAGTTCATAATTGTTTTAATGTGGGAGCTTGGTTACAAATGCATTGTAATATTTACCAGAGGGAGACTTTGTACAAAAGTCGATTGCTTGTGTACCTCTGTCCCACTCGTGTTTCAACCGTGAAGCAGTTGTGTTTGCATGGCTGTGTTTCGGTTTGAAGGGTGGCATATGGCGTGAATTTACTGGGTACAGAGAAGTAACACCTGAGTCCTCAGGAATGGCAACACATAGGTATCATGGGCGAAACAATATACTCTGTTATGTCTTTGGTACTGCTCATGTCTATAGGCGACGGTTACCACTTTCCATCAGGTGGACCGTCAGTTTGTTTGCCATTCTAAGTTGTATAAAAAAAAAAACTTGTTGGAATAAAAAACTAATATTGGCAGTCTTAATTTTAACTTTCAAACGTTTTACCGACGTCCGTTTTTAGACATCTATTGACGTAAAGATTAGCGGGTTTGTTACGTCAAGTAACTAGTGCACTGTGTGGTACACGTGAGAGGGATTTTTTTAATGGATGACGATGGAATGGTAACACTAACGGTATTCGCTGACGAGACCACAGTGAGGGATGATAGGTGAGAGTGAAAAGGCAGTTTTTTTTGTTGGATCAAAATGGTATGGTAACTCCGCCTGCACTAACAGGATACACTGGCGGAGCACCAGTGAAGGGTGATAGATGAGAATGAAAACAGGCCAGTTAGCCCATCATGATGAATTCATCAGGAATTAGCCATGATAGTTTCCAGGGGAAACCGCGTGAAGGTCGACCTGGTTGGGTATATTGCTAGCAATGGGATTCTCAGTCTCCATTACTAATAATCCCTTTCCCCCTGAAAAGGCAGGTTAGTGGCCCATCGTGATGAATGCACCTGGAATTCAGCACGATGGTTTCCAGGGAGTATCGTGTGTAGGTCGACCTGACAGGGTTTGCTAGTAATGGAACTGCTAGTTCGCATTACCACCCCCACGTGAGACGGGATTATTAGTCTATCTGACAGGTCGATCTCCACGCGGTCCCCCTGGAAATCGTCATGGTTGATTTCTGGTGAATTCGTCACAATGGGCTGACTATTCTGACTTCATTCTGTGATGTTATAACAGCGACACTATAGCCGATCCTTCGTAGTCGCATCTTACGACACCTACGGGAAAGGAGGGGATGGCCTATTTTGAGCCATTCACTCATTTTTATATATGTATAGTTACATTTATGACAAATTTCTCGATGTTAGTATTTTTTTTTTTTTTTTGGATGAAAATGGTACGGTTGCGCTTATATATGATATAGGATGAAAACAGGCCAGTACCCATCATGATGATTCATTAGAATCAATCATGATAGTTTCTCGATGTTATATATTGTGGGATTAATTACTAACAATCCCTTTCCCCCCCGATGTTAGTATTAATGGCAAATGGTGGTCGACCTCCACGCAGTTCACCCTAGAAACCATCTTGGTTAATTCTTTATGAATGCATCACTATGGGCTAACTGACCTGTTTCATCTTCACCTATTATCTCTTACTGGTAGCCTGCTAGCGCATAGCGATAGCACAGATGGGGTTACCATTTCATCATCACCCATTAAAAAATATATTGTCCGTATCTTAGAGTTTAATAATAAAGATAGGATACAAATTAAGACGAAGTTAGAGGGCTTATCATGATACTATTTCCGAAATTTCGACGCTGAACAAAACACGAACTTGATGTTAAAATCACATAATAAAAGCTGTTTAAAAACGTCAAAATATCGACCTTTAGTACTTTTATTATAAGATTCTTTTTTCGGATTTTGGTTACTGCACTAAGTTAACCAAGTATCTCATTCACGTCATCTGATACGGGCGACAGGACTCCTGAAGCGAAGGAGGAAAAAGATCGATATATTTTGATTCTTATTTACAGCTGGCTTTAAGGTAGGATATATAATGAAAGAAATGTTAAGATTTCAATACGATCTCAATAGATCTCTTTGGGGGTTACAAAAGATGCGCCGAATTGAGAGAGATGCATGAGAGAATTACATCAAATTCGACTTTGAAATAAATAACACGGAATTTTTAAGTGCTCGCGTTCAAACTCAGAGAGGGCACAGTGAAGATATTGCCCAGGGGCGCCAGGTAACCTAAGGCCGGCTCTAGGCGTATATGTACGTATAACAAACATTATAAAAAGTATTAAAGTGGTTATAATTCATAGAAGAGCCGAGATATAATAATGTTCACCATTATTACCGAGAGTGAGATAAACATATTAGTCACCGGAACAGTATCATCATTTCGCACTGAATAACATTATGCAATAATTGCAGATAATTAACAAAAAACAATAACTTTACCAGAGGGAGACTTTGTACAAAAGTCATTTGCTAGGGCACCTCTATCCCATTTGTGTTTCTACCATGAAGCAGTTGTTTTTGCATGGCTGTGTTTCGATTTAAAGGGTGGGATATAGCGTGAGTTTACAGGGTACAGAGGAATAACACCTAAATCCTCAGGAATCGCAACGCATGGGGAGGTATCATGGGTGAAACAGTATACTCTGTTATATACATGGCACACCTCACATCTATAGGTGACGGTTACCACTTTCCATTAGGTGAGCCAACAGCTTATCTGCCATTCATTGCATACAAAAAAAACTTAATTTATTCTTAATATATATATATATATATATATATATATATATATATATTTTATTTATTCTATATATTTTATATTACATTGTTCACTATATTGCATATAGTATGCAAGTTCGGGGGGAAAAGGATTGTTAGCAATAGAGTTTGACAGCCCCATTGCTAGCAATATGCCTTATTAGGTCGACCTCCACGTGGGTCCCCCTGGAAACCATCGTGAACAATTCTTGTTGAATTCGTCACGATGGGCTAACTGACCTGCTTCATTCTCACCTATCATCCTTCACTGGTGCCCCGCCTGTGTATACTGATAGCACAGATGGGGTTACTATTCCATTATCATCCATAAAATAAAAAAAAAAGTATGAATGTTCACCTCATGTGTGTGGGTGCCTGAGATATATAATCCCATACTCATTGAGTTATTTATCTGAAGCAAGCACTGTTAAATTGTATATATTGCATCTATTAGTGAAAACCTATAAATGGCTTCACTTGTAGTTATTTTTTTTTTTTTTTATTTAATTAGTCTTGGTTTTCCTTCTACAAACAAATAAATAAATAGGAGATTAGCATTTATGGTAACAGGAAACTAACACTCTCCTCCTGTTAAAAGAGCTATGCCCAGCTGTGGGACCTTAAAAAAATATTATATTTATGAATTTGTTCAATTTAAATGCTATATGGTTTTAGAAAAACCTGTGCACTCTTAAATACAATTTAACATCATTGTATACTATGTTTTATAAAAAGAAAGTAATATTCTAAAAAAAAATTATTAAAATAAGCTGAAGGTAATCTCTTTTACATATCCTTAAAAAAAATATTAGAGCACTTCTTTATGTATTTGGGGAACTCAGATTATGTAGTTGGAGCATTAATATAGAAAAAAATTTCCTAAATAAAACTATTGTACATTAATTTCAAATATAATAATAATACTTCATTAAACTTTCCCTAATGGGAAACAGGCGTGACAGATATGTATGTATGTATGTACTTCATTAAAATTAAATATATAATGTTTTTTTCATTTTAAGGACCAGTATGAAATAAATAATTTCAAACATCTATACCATAGACAATTAATAAGTTTTATTACACTACTAGTTATAAGTAATATTAAAAATTAAAAAATAAATGATAAAGTTAAGTCACATTCAAAACAATTTTTTTTTTTTTGGGATTTGCTTGGTTTTTTGCTAGTTGCCCTAATAAAAATAAATCAATAGAAGATTTACAATTTCTGCTAAATTTATTAATCATCTGTCACATAGTTCACAATAAATATTATGCAATTATATTTTTCTTTTTTCCTCATTTGTCAAGGTTCCATTCAAAATCCATTAATTATTTGAGCTTAAAATGAAGGGATGTAACTGGCATAATCTTTCCAAATTTCCTTTTTAAGATGGAAGGTTAAATTTGCATGTCAACATTTTTTTTTACTCTTATTTTCATGAAATATGTTCACAAAACACATAAATTATAGTTTATTATTATTAGTTTAAAGAGGAGTGACAAAATTAAACAAATAACCTGCCAAGTTTCTTTTTTTTAAGAATGTTTGTTAACTAGTAATTATTGATGTTTATAATTTGTTTCTTATTTTAATAATGAAAAATATAAGATTACATATTTATTTACACTTTATTGCATCATTTATAAAAAATAATAAGATTTACTTATGAAAGAAGTACAACTACTTAATTTGGCACCTACCTAATATTTTTTTAAAACTATGAATAAAATATATATAATGAATATTTATTAAAAAAAAAAAAAAAACATTTCTTTGTCGTTTTCTTTGTTTAGAGTTATAAATTATATGTACCTAGTTATTACGAGCATACATACCTATGCTAATATATAGAAGGTCGAAAGCTTTTGGCTCAGCTTTCTCCTTTGTCTCTAAAAAATTTACTAGGAAACTAAATAAGTATACATAAACTTATAAGATCATTCTTGTTTGAATTCACATATTCGTGACTCATTCATAATCACGACACGACTACAAAGAGATTTTTTTTAAGTTTCACATTTCAACGTATAAAAATAAATAACTACCTACAAGGAAGTTTCACAATTTACACAAAAGGAACAGTTAAAAAAAATGTTTTACGTACTTGTCTAGATTTTTCGCTTCTAGAAGCAGAAAAATATATTTTATTAAAAATAAAAATATATTTAAAAAAATTTTTTCTTACCAAAAAATAATAATCTTCCTCCTCAACTTTTCAATGGGTTTATTAAAAATCACTTTTACAAAACACGCACACACAACTTAGTAGTTTTTAAAAAACCATATCTCCCAGTTTATTTAACCACTAAACTGAATTTTAATACAAATATTCTAAAAGATGAAAGCGATTTAAGTAATGAATACTAAAAATAGTATCCCCCAAGTGTCACGGTCTCACCGCTGGAGGTATTTTAAAAATATGTCATGTGAAATGTGAATGTGAAATATGAAATGTCATCAAAATGTCAAATAAAATCAAATATTTCCGGCTGGAAATGACTTATCGAGTTGCAACGTACGAATGAACGATAGAAAGACATTTCTGTAGTGTTGCCAACTTAATCTTAAAATTCCATAAACCTTGGGTAAAAGTTCACCGACTTCATCTTATTATTAGTATTTACTGATATTGAAATTTTAAAAGGAGTTTGAACAGAGCTCATATATGAAGATACAATATGAACATTGATTCCTTATTCTATTTTTCGGATTATTTTATTGGAATTTAACATGGGCACAATTGGACTTTTCTTATTCTAGCAAGCGTCCCTGACCAAATTTTTCGAACTCCCCGAAAACCACATTCCCTTTTCACACACACAAACACACATATACACACACACACACACACACAACCCTACACAAACTCACGCATGCGCGCGACTATAAAATACAAGAGCATAAATTTTTATTGAGATTCTCTTGAGTAATAATGATGTTTATTACTTAAGAGAATCTCAATATCCCGGATAGTCACTTGATTGACAATGGAAAAAAACAAGAACTGAACGTAGCTTGTTATTAAAATTTATTTTTTTTATGCAACATAGAATAGCAAACAAACATGCGTTAACAACCCCCCATGCGTTGCCATTCCTGAGAACTCAGGTGTTATTCCTCTATACCCTGTAAATTCATTGCCATATCCCACCATTCAGACCGAAATAAAGCGAGGGGAAAGGGATTATTACTAATGGGGTTCTAATTTCCCCATTACTAGCAATACACCCTATTAGGTCGACCTCCACGCGGTTCCCTGGACTTTATCGTAATTAATTCTAGTAAAATTCGTCACAATGAGCTAACGAACCTGCATTCAACCTATCACCCTTCACTGGTGCCCCGCCAGCATATACCGTTAGCGTAGGCATCAAGTAGTAGGCAAAAATCGAAACGCAGCCATGCAAACACAACTACTTCAGGTAGAAACACGAATGGGACAGAGGTGCCCAAGCAAAACGACTTTTGTTCAAAGTCTTCTTCTGTTCAAAATGTCAAAATATGAAATTTTAATTAAAATAGCTATTGTGCTACGGGTTATTACATTTTTCCTTAGTGTAATTCAAGATGCTCAAATCCAGAGTAAGCATTTAAATCTTTTTAAATTAAACTTACCCAATTGTAAGTAAATATTTCTACACTTGCAACATTAAAATTTTGCTCAAGGTTTTTGACGTCAGCCAAAAACCTCCAAACGAAACTGCAGCGCTAGGGGGATCGAATTCTGAAAATAAATTTTCTATCGTTCATTCACAATAGGCGCGAAATTCGAATTTATCGAACGAAATCACAAATTAATAAGGACGTTGTATTTAAGTTAGTGAAGTCAAAGCGGTCACCGTGACCGCAAACGGTCAGGATTCATCATCATATGAAGTCTATGCAAATTACAATCTTATCACTCATTTATGAGACGCGATTTTCTTTATTTTTGTTATTGTTTCTAAAATAAACTTTATTTATATTGCAGCAAAATCATTATTGAAAGGACTCGTATAAGCGAAATTTATAGTGTATTTCATCCAGAACTACTTTTATTCTAAATTATTTATATTTGCAGAGCAAGTAATCACTACGTTATTTAGTATCACATTGTTCGTTTCCGCTAATTTCTATAATCATTTCAACGATTTTTATTAAGACACCTGTGATTGTTTTTCCAGTCATTTCATTACCTCCTATATTATTTTCATCATCATCTTCGTCAGTTTTTAATTATGTTCACTGCTGAACATAGTAGTAGTTGCCACACTTGGCATGTAAGTTGGCAACAGCACTTAAGGTTTGACGATATTTTATGATAAACGCTGCTGCCTATATCTCAACCGGTACGTCCCCTTAGTCGCCTTTTACCACACTCATGGTAATGGACTAGTCCATTTTATACCGGGACCACAGATAATAAAATACTATGCTATTACAATGTCGAAAGATCAAAAGGTTGATTTGTAGCAGTGTTTTTATAGGCTGTACTATCAGTATACGATGGCGAGATATCAGTGAGGGCATTTGATAATTTATCGATCTGTTGATCCATCGTAACAAAACACACCAAGCAAAAATTTACTACGAAGGTAGTTAGGAAGGACCGCACGGAGGGAGAGCTATTAGGATATTTTCTGGTAAAGAGATTAATGGGTTAGTAGAATTTCCATTACCAAAGTCAGTTAAAAATTTGTATAGCTACGTGACGTCGATAAAATCAGATATAGAGTAATACACTTCTAGGTACAATTTGAAGTCCAAATATTAAGTACCATCTACAGAGTACATTTATTTATATTTTAACCACCATGTCTATAGCAGTTTATTTATTGCTCTTTATCACCTATAAAATAACATAAGGGGAGAAAAAAAAAACTTGTTAATTGTATTAAGCATATATTCAATTTATTTACAGAAATGTTACACTTGAAAAATAAACTATTTTAAGTATATTAATTTAAAATGAAAAATATATTACAATGAAAGTGTACTCGCAAAGCAAACATAATAAGCTAACAAAATAAGAATCGGTAACGACGAGATAAAACAAGAAAAGGTTTATATGTCAGTCATTCCTATAAATTATGCTACACTTTGCATAAACGGCGGCATTGGGAAGAGTCCTTAGCCTTGTAATGAAATCTCATTTAAAACTATATTATTGCGTACCAAATATATTCGTTTTATAGTTATCTAAAATGCTCTAAGCGTACTTGTACTAATAATTAAAAAAAAAAAGCAAATTATATTTCATATAGTATCTAGGACTACAGGCCCGCAGGTCCTATCCTAAATCTATGTACCATATAGAAATAAAAAAAAAAACACTAGCTGATATAAATTAGCTATAGCCTAAAGAACTCGCATTAACAGTCATTCAACAGACATGTCAAACAGAGCAATGTGCTCCGAATTGTAATTTATGACATGCAAAAGGCGATGGACAATCGAGTATTCAATACTTAATGTCTTAACTACTTTTGATATTAAATAACAAAGGATTATAAAAGTTTTGAATTATAAAAAAATGATGTAACAAAATAATGATAGAAGCATTCCATGATTATAATATAGGACAAACAGGACTTGTACTACAATGACAAAAAGTTTTGACAAATCACAAAATCTTATTAATACATTAAAACTGAAAACATAATGTATACATACTAATAATATAAAAATTTAAAATATATCTCTGTTTACACTTCTCGTTTTTTCATTCCTTCCGCATATTGTCCTTGCTATAATGCACTCATGCACACATTTTAAATTTATTTTTCCTTTGCATGTATATAACATATCTTGTGTTGTCCTCCTTTTCAGAGAACTCAACTGAATGATTCATCTACATTACTGAAAAATATCATAATATAAATTACACGGAGTCTTCTCTAACCTTGACATTGGCAGAAAATCACCGTTGCTTCTATGGTGGAAGCCATTTCTTTTTTAAAAGAAGAAGAATTAATTGTGGCACCAGCCTTAACATTAATACTAGTATTTTCCATATTGTGTCAATAAAAGTAAATATATAATAGATTTTTAGGCTCTTTTCAATTTGTTTGTGAAATATAGGGTTTGTTATCTTTGGTAAATTGTTATTTATAAAGATACCCTCAGACCTACTAAAGTTTAAATTCAGAGAATAGCTAATGAAAAATAAATTTGAGTACATACCAAACGGAAAAACTATCGCGTACCATTTTATTTTGTACGTTAGAACTTCATTGCTGTCTGTTTGCCAGCTAGCTACGTTAATATATTTGCCATTCGGTATGCACTAATATTTATGAAAGGCGCCATCTTAATTTTTATAATTTCAATAATATACATTCTTTTACTTTTGACAACTTTTTCTGTTATCAGAATATTCAATTATAAAAAAAAAGTTCATATTTTAGAGTTCCTGAAAAGTTGTAGTTATCGAGCAGCTGTCCAAAGTAAAATAATGTTAGGGGGAAAGGGATTGTTAGTAATGAAGACTGAGAATCCCATTGCTAGCAATATAACCAACCAGGTCGACCTGGTTGGTTATATTGCGGTTCTCCCTGGAAAATATCATGGTTAATTCCTGATGAATTTATCATGATGGGCTAACTGGCCTGTTTTCGTTCTCATCTATCACCCTTCACTGGTGCTCCGCCAGCGTATCCCGTTAGCGCAGGCTGGGTTACCATACCATTTTCACCCATCAAAAAAAAAAAAAAGTAAAATAATGAGAAAGGCATAAAGAAACAAGGATGGCTATTCATTTGTTTAGCAGAAGCAGTCTTGAGTTGGAAACAACTAAGGTGTCCCCAGTAATTGTTCATTAGGGACAAACTGCAGCGGCTGAGCGATCTGTCCAGCCTGATGTACGGTGGTGCATATCTGTAACGGTGTCCGTTTGCCGCTCCAGTGGGCACTGAGGCGGGCGCTGCGCCTGACCGGCGTCACTGTATACTTAGTTGGCTCGCTTATGTTGGACTTCCTCCTGTATATAAAAATTAGATGTGACAAAGTAAAATTATTAAAAAATATATACTTATTTTTAAATTATGGTAAGTCTATGACACTTGCATGTTTGCATGGCTGTGTTTCGGTTTGAAGGGTGGGATATGGCGTGAATTTACTGGGTACAGAGAAATAACACCTGAGTCCTCAGGAATGGCAACGCATGGGGGGTATCATGGGCGAATCAGTATCCTCTGTTATGTCCATGGTACTGCTCATGTCTATAGGCGACGGTTACCACTTTCCATCAGGTGGGCCGTCAGCTTGTTTGCCATTCTAAGTTGCATAAAAAAAAAAACTTGCACATTTAAGACAATGATCTTACGTGTGATAATAAGGTTAGAACAATGTTACCATTCAATTTTATGCCATGCTCATGCTATAAGAGACAAAAAAAGTTGTGAAAATTACCTATGTAATCACGAAACATACAAAAATTTTGACAAATTGAGAACCTCCTTTTGGATCTCACTTAAAAATTTGAAAAAAAAACCAATACCAGAGACCATTTTTACTGATATAGTAAAATATAGTCTCTGTTGATACCAAGCCGGCAGTTATAAATCTTACTTTTTGAAGAAACTCCTACCCAAGGGAGACTTCTACTATCACGGTCTCGCTTTCAGTCTGGTAAAATATTATATCTTAATGTAACAACTACCAGTTTAACTTACGTATAATTTGAGAAAACTCAACTAGTTTCGGGACCATTCGGGACCCTTAATCTTGAGCGGCAATAACGCAACCTCGTCAAACTTTTCCGACCAAATTACACGTAAATTAAACCAGTAATTGTTACATTAAAATGTAATATGTTCTTACAAAACTTTTTACAATAAAATTGGCAAAATATTATTAATACGTAAGAAACAATGTCTGTATTCGTGTTATAGATCAGTTTTGAAATGGATTCAATCACGACCAATCTCAAAGTGTCTCTTCTGGTCACACTGAAGGAGACTTTGTACAAAAGTTTGCTTGGGTACTTGTCCCATTCGTGTCATACAGTTGTGTGTTTCGGTTTGAAGGGTGGGATATGTGAATTTACCCATAGGTACAGAGGAATAACAGCAGTTCATGAATGGCATCATGGGGGGTATCATGGGCGAAACAATACTCTGTTATGTCCATGATACTACTCATGTCTATAAGCGACGGTAAACACTTTCCAACAGGTGGGCCGTTAGCTTGTTTGCCATTCTAAGTTGTATAAAAAAGAAATTGAAAGTGAACCGACAGCATTATGTCATCATATTAGCTGTTAAATGTCCACTACTGGACATAGGCCTTCCCCTTGGGAAGTTTACCAGTAGTTACTACATTTGGTAGGTAGGTTAGCAACCGTAAATAGGATTTGGGGATATTTTAAAAGGGCCACTATTGCCCATGCCACAATCAAAAAATTCTCTTAGTTGCCTCTTACATGGGACACCCATGGGAAAGGAATGTGTGGCTTATTCTATGCCGGGACCACACAGCAAGGATCCGGCCTAAGAGTTAAAGTAACAATATCCTTATTTAATAAAATTTGTTAAGCTATTTAGACTACATCTTACACCAAAATTAAATCTGATATTTAAAATTATTTCTATACTGGCAAACAAGCTGTCGACCTATTCGATAATAAGTGACAATTGTCACCCATAGACGAGAAAAAAAATCACAGATATGTTAGAATACTTTGTGATGTCTATGGTGCTACCCATATACTGCCATTTATATTTAATTAAACTTACAATTTAGCTTGCTGGACAGCAAATCGTATGATGGTACTCTTGAATACATTCTTGACATCAACCATCTTGGGATCCACTTGCTTCTTTTTGCCACTATTAGGACTAATCTTGAGCTGCATGAACTTGTCCAAGAGCTGGTCGAGGTTGGCCTCTACTACTGAACGCTGTAATTTAAATAAAAAAAAAACAATTGACTATTTGGTTCTTTTTTAATTAACGTAAGTTATTAATGAATATTCTGTGGGAAGTAAATATATGTTGCTCTGTTAAAAATAGCAACTTCAATTGTGATAAAAATAAGACTAATATATGTCTACTAAATCGTATTGATTGCAACATTAGTTCAAAATTAGTGTAATACAGAAAACGACACAAAATTCTTTTGGATATCATTCCTAGAATTTTTCACATTTAATTTTTGTGATATAGTTTATTTAGACGTAGGTTAGAAGTCGGCCAAACTTAAGTGGGATTGAGCGGGCACATTAGTCGTATAGATCCTGATAGGTGGGCAAAAATCTCCACCCAGTGAGTACCTACTGATGGACAGCGTTGCCGAGGTCAGCCCAGGAAACGATGACGTGACAAAGTTGACGCTTTTAAAAGGGAATGGTTTGAGGTGATGCTGAAAAGTAAATTTTGAAGGAAAAAGGAGAGACCTTTACCCAGCAGTGGGTCATTATAGGTTCATAATAGAACAGATAGAATAGTTTAATGACAAATGTACAGGTTTTTATTTTGAAAGACATTCTTATTTTTTATGTTTAATCTGTGAGGCTATAAAAATTACAGGATTTTTATATCTACCTCTGTACCCTTTGCAATGGCTTCTTCCCAACACTGCACAGAAGCTGGCAAGTCACCCCTGCGGTCCTCGAGCGCAGCTCTGCACTCCCAGTAGGCGGCAGTCTGGCTAGCCGAGGGGAACCGCTCGCGGACTACGCGGAGCCACCTGGCACATTGCTGCCAGTCGAAACCCTACAAATTGGAGGAAAGAAATTATTATTAAATGAGATTAGCTGCCCCATTGTTAACAATATACCATTTCAGATCAACTTTCATGTGGTCCCTCTTAAAAATCATTGTAGTTCATTCATAATGAATGTATCATGATTTATTTATTTATTTAAAATAAATAAATATATTATATTATGATGAGTCGACTTGTTTTCACTCTCACCTATCCACTCTCAATGATGCCTCACCAGTGTATACCAATAGCGCAGGCATGGCTATCTTTACATTAAAAAACTTTCAAATTGAAAAAATACCCCTGATTAAGCTTATCTTATGAAACCTACTAAATAATTATAAATGATGATATTAAATCGCAATAATTTCAGCTCCTCTGCAAAGGAAACTAGAGATTTCTTTCTCATATTTAAATTACATCAAGTATGATTATGGACTTTTGGTATGACATATGTCACATCATTATTTCAACCAATATCTGCCCACTGCTGAATAAAGAACATCCTCACAGACTGTTACCAGAAACGGTTCCGAGCCATCGGAATCCATTGACACCCTGAAATACATTAGATTTTTCTTGTGCACTCACCTCGCGCAATAGCTCATTTAAATCACTCAAAACTCCCATAAGTATTTCATCAACATGGTGCACATTCATTGCTTCTCCTGAAGTTATTGTTGTATCATGGCTCTCGTTCAAATCTGCACTGTCACTTACATAACTTGCTCTTCTCCACTTATCCATAGCAAAGTCATCTTTAAGTCCATTATATATGTCTTCTTTTGGTTCATTCATATTATCCGTATATGAATCATCATCACTATCAGATTCTAATTCAATATTTTCCTTATTCTCATCATCATAAAGGTCAAATTTAGGTGGCTCCTTAAATGCCTTTATATTTTTTTCAGCTAAATGATGAATGCCAAAACATTGCAAGTGATGGTAGGACTCTAAACTCTTGCCTCGTTTCTGCAGCCAACTTTTTAACTTGGACTGCAATTCCTCAGGTCTGGGGGTATTAAAATTGGATGGTACGGGAGTTTGGAATTTAACTTTCTTCCTCTCGCTCTTAACTGCTGAAACTATTTTGTCTTCCTTTATAGAATCATCTTCGTTGACTTCTTTTAGATCTACTGTATTCAGTTTCTCGCCAATAGAAGACCATTTATGAATACAATTGTTTAATTCACTTTTACTTATTCTTTTAAAATGAACAGCAGATATAGAACGCCTTACTGGCGGTTCAATTTTTTTCTTAACATCAAAAACTGTATGTCGTTTATTAACAATCAACCTAGAGTCTTTTAATAGCTTTTTTAGGTAGTTCCCATCAGTTTGGAGCTTTTTAACATCGTCAACTGGTTTCCTTTCTATAATTTTTGGTTTGTACAATCGATCAAATACAGATTCTCGGTTAGGCTGCACTTTTACCAAGCTTTGAGGCAATTGCGACGGCTGTATACTTTTTCTAGGTAATGCTGATTTGATATCGTTTTTGGGTGCAATACTTTTCCTGTTTGTTGTCGAATAATTTGTATTTAGTGTATTGGTTGTGTTTTTATTTGAATTATTGTCAATTTTAGCTTTATTAGTATTACTTGTAAAGTGCAAGTTTATTGGATTTTTCTCGGTTACTTTAGGCTTGAATCCATGATCCTTTATAGGATTTGTTTGTTTTATATCATTATTATAATTAGCTGCTTTTGTTATAGTCTTAATGGGAAACATGTTCGGTTTAGAATTAATGCTTTCTGTATTTGGTACTTTTTTGTTAACAACAGCAACTGTATTTGGTCTTTTAATGTCATTCATATTATGTGCATTGTTTTTAACCGAATTATTGGATCTGGCTCTATTGGCTACTTGGTCAGATTTGGATTTGTTTGCTATGGATGTATTGGATACCGAGTTTTTTAGTTGAGGATCATTTTTGTTGTATTTTTTCAAGTTGAGTTCTCTTAACTGAAAATTGAAACAACCTCTCTCTTAATCTTTTATAAAATAATATAAAACTGATATTGATAGATAACTGATAGATGAAGACCTAATCCTTTAAGCTTCTCTTGCATATGGGCAACAGACAATTCTGTGATGGGCACAGCCCCCCTCCCTCTTTTAAATACACTTACATATAGATATTTTAAATATAACAGATATTATAAAATCAACATGACTATAGTACAATACTACTTATGAGGAATAAATAATTAAATTTCTTCTGTAAGATCCACTTTGCTTGGAAAAAATCTCTAAGGCTGTCCATTGTCACCCCTTTACCTTGCTTCTTGTAATACATAAAAAAAAAACATGTTTTTAAGTAACAGTTACTTGTAAAAAGTAAAAACATGTTTTTAAAGGAGGATAATAGTTTCAATTTTTACTTGTGTAGATATCACTAAAAGGTTAGATGTTGCATACAGACAGATTCAAAATGTAAATATACAAATTTGTTATTACCTTCTCAATCCTGGCTTTTTCACGTGCCATTCTCTCCTCTCGTAGCTTATTTAAGCGCTCCTCTAGAGACGACATCTTTTAAAGCCTTGAAGAAAAATTAAATATTTTATATTTCATTATTTTCTAACAGGTTTTCAGTACTTAATTATACTTGATTATACCAGAGACTTTGTCTATACAGTAAGAAGTATCTTTAGTTCCTTTTGCCAAATACTACAGAATATCTGCTTGTTATGTTTAGTATAGTAATTTGTTGAGCCATTATGGGCCTGGTATTTTTTAAATTATTATACCACCACTGATACTGACTGCATACATGCATCGACTGGAATGCACTGGCTGCACAGTGCAGCTCATGATATAGTTATGAACTATGCTTTTTTATTGAAAGGAGAAAGAGAAGTTTTATTGGGAGATTTTAATATAAATCTTTTATGTGATAATCAATATACAAAAAAATATGAAGCCTGAATACAGATTTAAAATATTCAATAAAATTTAAGAGAAGTATTGCACACATGAGACATACAAAAAGAGAACTATTTTAGATCATTTTTGTACCAATTTCATAAATAACAATTTTTACATGACTCTTATTGACGTGGACATGAATATGATTATATAAAATATAATAATCTTCTAACAACAATAAAAGAAAAAAACACTTACATGAAAATTTTTATATCGCAAATATAGAAAGATATATAAGAGCATATATGTGCAGTATGTTTGTGTGAATTGCCTATTTAAGTGTATACAAAATGAGACAAATAATAAAAAAAAAATAGTACAATAAGTATAAGTTAACTATCAGTTAACCGAAGATTGCAGATACTGACCTTACATTATAAATAACCTGTTGTATTGCATCCTATTGCATTGTATAATTTTTATAAAATGAAGGTAGTTTCGAATAATGTTTTATTTTTACTTGATGTTTGATAAATTGCACTTAGTAACAGTAGAGATTAAGTGCATATTCATACTTTTAAATTTCTCATTTAAGTGATTTATGTAAAAATATTTAGAGAAATAAATATCTTAAACCGTTATAAGTTGTAATTGAAAATCGAATAAATTTGTATATGCTATACAAATTTACTTTGCAAGGCATAATTTCAAAAGACTTTATAAGGAATTTGTACGTTATTAGTTACTTATTTAATAAAAGAGGTCACTTTCCTCACAAGTCATAGAAGGCTTGTTAAGAAGATGATTTTAAATGAATGTTCGGCATAATATTGTAATTTAATTAAGTTTTTTTATCTAATATTTTTCCTCCAAGTTTTTACAATATAATATAAAACTATTTAGATATATCATTTACAAAGAAGCTTACCTTATTTTTCAACTGGTCAGAACACTAACACCCAATTAATGTAGTCGAGTTTAAACACCTAAAGAAACCTGTACTTAAAATCTTATAAGCACTAAATATAAATATTATAAATTATTAACAACAACAATGGACAGTAGTTAATATGCTTGGTAAAATAAATCTGAATTGTGATACCTATTAGACGAAATGAAAAATTTTATAAATAAAAACAAACACGAAAGACGATGATAGTTAAAAACCGACGATTTTCAAAATTGAAAATGGAATAACGCCGTAGACTAAGAAAATAAACGTTAGTTGATTGACATCGTCCGTCTGCTTCATAGATTAAGAATAACACTATGTAGATTCATTCAGTGTTGCCAGTTTTAAAATATATTTATCCGTAACCGTAATCTGGACAAAGTTAAATATATCCTTACATTATGATCCTTTCAGTATTACATTATATTCCTTATTGATAAGATTTAGCAGGGGCATAGCAAAAGCATAGCAAGATTCAATCATTTAATCAAAAACTCGTACGTATTTACTCGTTATCGTCATCTTGTAGGTGCGACATTGTGCATGTATCCTATGACAAATTGCTAATACGTGCGTATCGGTTAATGTATCGGTTTGCATATATCAGTGTATCGCATTGTGTGGAATATTGGAAATTAATGGCTGGGCCAATTAACACCGTTACGTTACACTCGGCAATAGGGTGGTATCGGGAACTAATGTGTTGCTTATAGCATTATCTGCTATAATATATATCTGATTTATATATATATATTTACTTGCCTGGTCTAATATAAATATGTAATTTTTTTCCAATATACAAATACTGCGACTATACATACACAGTTCGTATTACCAAGTTTACTTTTTCGTATACATATCACAGATTAGAGAGACTATGTGTTGTGATACACATGACAGATACGGATTTGGTTAAGGAGCCAACGTTTACGTTTTGACGTGAAAATTACAACTATATATATATATATATATATATATATATATATATATATATATATATATATATATATATATATTAAGAACTTGTGTTTACTCTTAATAATATTACGAAATTGATATCTTAAAGTAATATTGTATAAAATAATAAATATATTTAAGGATGCCATCTTCTGTTTTATTTTTGTTAAAAAATGTTCATTGGGACATGTAATTAGAAATAAAATTTACTATCAAACTTTAATTTAATTATAACCTACTTGTTTCCATTTTGAACATCAGGCTGGCCAATATAACAAGAAAAGGACGATTTTTGGTGTAGACTGGTGAGATATTTCTAACAAGAAAGGAGTATGTGGTTATATACGCCACATACTCCTTGCTGTCAAAGTCTTAACGGAAGCTCCGCAATATTTTTACAATTTCTTTTATTTTTGTAAATGTGTACTTAAACTTGTTTCTAAACAAAATTTCTACACAAACAATTACTTACCATCGATAAATAAAAAAAAATGTTAATCTGAATTCTATCTTTAATTAGATTTTAAAAGTATTTCATAATTAAAAGTCCAAATTGTTCTAGTACTGCGCTTAATGATTGACGCAATAGCACTCGATATTAGGTTTGTTTTAGACTATTGGATTTTAATGCTGTCTTTACTTAGGCTTAGACTAAAAGTTCATAATATTAATAAAAAAGTATAGATTTTTAGAATATGTTCAGATATTTATGCATAGGAATCTAATAATTACATTACATTTTCTTCATTCTTAATATGTGTCGTTATTATCAATGAAAATATAGATAGATAGTTTACATCTGACAATGCCAGTATGACATTGCATCTGCTATGGTGTTACAAGTAAGAAATAATGTCTTCTGATTGGGGATAATTTTGCTAAACTAACTTGGCATTTAGTACAATTTTTAATATTATTTTTTTTAAGTGGAAAGATTTAGATCTTTCGACAGATTTTGTTTTATTATATGATTTTGTACTACTTAGTACAATAATTATCAAAACATTTGACAATGTCGTTTTCTGTTAGAAAATTCACTTACATTTTGAGGATATTATAATTAGTATTTTCCTTATAAAAAGTTAAGCTAATTAATTACATATCATCATTTCACGAATGTTTAAGTAGAAAATAGATTTTGTGATAGCAACATTCATCATCAATTGTGTCAACTTTCAAGTTTTTTCTTTTTTTTGATTTGTCAATGTTGGTAATAGTCTAGTGTTAATGCCCGGTCGGTCACGAGTGCGCCGCGCCATCGAGCTTGCATTTTAAAACGTTTTCTCGTTTCTCTGAATTAAATTAACAATTATTAGTGTGGTGAATTTGATTACAGGTGAGTTTGTAATTTTTATTCAAAATAATAGTTATATTTTAATTAGGCATTTTAAATACATAGTAGGTGCATTAAATTTTTTTTGTAAAAAAGTTGCAACGCCGGCGGTCGGTCGGCATAGGATCGTGAGATTTTTGCAAACAGGTTTCCTTCGTGCGTGGCTCTGCTTTATAAACCTAGTTTTTGATTATACAGCACCAAATCATTCAAAGTTACCAACTTTACAAAAGTGCGTTTTAATATGCCCACACTTTTATAAATTTTATTTTCATTATATTGTACATGTCAAATGCTATAAACAAGATTAAATAAATAATTTGAAAGCAACATTAACATAAATAACTGAAATAGATAATTTAAAGCGGTAACCGCTTACCATCAGGTGGGCCGTATGCTTGTTTGCCACCTCAGTGCTATAAAAAAAAATTCATAATAAATATAATAAGAAATTTTAGAATTACCTATTTTGTTATTTAAATACAACTGCTTGTACCTCGTGGTTTTACCCGCATGAAAGATAAACTAGAATACCTGTGAAACTAGATATATATATATATATGTTTTATCCGGGCATCAAATTTCATTTAAATCTATTCAGCTCTTTAAGCTATCGCTTTAAGCTACAATATCTATATATTCTTTACTCGATATTTTATAAATTTTTACATTCATAACATTATAAGTTTTAATCCGTGACTTTGTCATTATAAATTTGGTTCGTATATTGTGTCAATAAACCAGGATAAAAAGTAGCCTTCCTAGTATGTCCTCCACTATAAATACTTTTTTTTTTATACAACTTAGAATGGCAAACAAGCTGACGGGCCACCTGATGGAAAGTGGTAACCGTCGCCTATAGACATGAGCAGTACCATGAACATAACAGAGTACACTGTTTCGCCCATGATACCCCCCATGCGTTGCCATTCCTGAGGACTCAGGTGTTATTCCTCTGTACCCTGTAAATTCATGCCATATCCCACCTTTCAAACCGAAACACAGCCATGCAAACACAACTGCTTCACGGTAGAAACACGAATGGGACAGAGGTATCCAAGCAATCGACATTTGTACAAAGTCTCCCTCTGGTAAAGGGATGAAGAGATTGTTAGTAATGGGGACTAGCAACCCCACTGCTAATAATAATATACCCTATTGGGTTGATCTCTACGCGGTTCTCCCTGGAAAACATTGTGATTAATTATTCTTGAATTCATCACGATGAACCAACTGACCTGACTATCCTGACCATATCGGAGGAAAAGGACTATTAGTAATAGGGTCTAACAGCCCATTGCCAGCAAAATACCCTCAACACGGTTCCTCTTAGAAACCGTAGTGGTTTTTTTTAATGAGTGATAATGGAATGGTAACCCCGCCTGCGCTATCGGGATGCGCTGGCGAGACACCAGTGAGGGATGGACGGATGATGGAGAGAAGGAGGAACGGTTTCCAGGGGGAACCGCATTGAGATCGACATGATAGGGTGTATTGCTAGCCCCCATTACTAACAATCCCTTTTCTCCCAACCGTCGTGGTTCATTCTTGTGGAATTCGTCACGATGAGCTAACTGATCTGCTTTTATCCCCACCTATCATCACTCACTGGTGCTCCGTCGGCGTATAGCAATAGTGCCAGCGCAGTTACCATTCCCTATTCATCCATTTAAAAAACATAGGGTACATTAACAGTGCAATGTAAACCCTGCCTACGCTGTTGGTACACTTTGGAATAAGTTATATATATTGGGGTCAACTCTGAGGCGCAATTACCCTAAATGTATCTCTTATTTATTTATTTAACTCTTTATTGCACCAGAAACATAAAAATATACAATGACAATTGAACAATTCAAGTTAAATACAGTAATAGAAAATATAGGTTAATATATATATACGTAAACGTACAAAAGGCGGTCTTATCGCTAGGGCAATCTACTTACTAATTTAATTTAATTATTTCGCAAAATTACTGTTTTATGGATCATCATAAACTAAAACCATAATAATTTTGACTTAAATCTATTAAATTTTTTTTTATATATTAGTCCTTACAATAAAGATTTTAAAAAGATTTAAAAAGATCAAATAAAAATTTTAAAAATAGATTTTGGCGCCTCGTAATCGATCACATTAGAAGCAATAAAGCTGCCAAAGTACTAACAACCCCCTGTCTTTGATTTTTTTTAATGGGTGCCAATGAAATGGTAACCCCGCCTGCGCTATCGGTATACGTTGGCGGGGCACCAGTGAGGGATGATAGGTGAGGATGAAAGCAGGTCAGTTAGTCCATCGTGATGAAATTCACAAGAATTAACCACGGTGGTTTCCAGGGGGAAACACGCATGGAGGTTGACCTGATCGGGTAATTTGCTAGCAATGGAGATGTTAGATTCTCATTCCTAACAATTCCTTCCCACCCTGTCTTTGGATTAGATATATTGATATAATTTTGCTTTCTTTTTCCAAATGATTACTTTTTCATTTTCAAACGTATAGCTACGTACATACGTTCTTTATTTTTACATCTGCAATCGAGTAACTATACCGTAAGTGAAGTTTATCTCTTTAAAATTATGCATACTTTCCATATCTCATTAAGTAAACTGAAAACTTTGCAGCTAAAATGACCTTGGTACAATTACCACGTAAAGCCTACCTACCTATTTGTTTTGAATTATGTTATCGTGCCGGCTACGATGTCTGAATTGGATGCTGTTTTATATAAGGGCATCAGGGTATTGTAGATTCACAACTTCTTGTGATGTTGTTGTATCGGCTATTTTTTTTTAGGTTTCCATTCTAAACGTATTTGAAAAATTCTTTTTTTTTTAAAGTATAAAAAAAAAACATTTACTGCTATCGACAAAAAGAGTTTATTTTTGTAAACAAAAAAACATTACAAAAGAACATTATTTTGTCAATAGAAAACAAACTTTACATTTGTTATTGTCA